TGGTTCAGTGTCAAGAGGCAAAAAAGTTCCTAGGGGCTCTTAGCAAAGGCTAAGAGACGACATTTGGTGCAGAAGAGCCTAACATATTATACAGCAACATCCAGCTTAAGAATGGAGGTGGAGGCAGTCACAGCAGTTTTCTGCTGGCTGGAGAACACGATATACCCACACATCATGATTGTAACTGACTCAGCATGCAGAGGAAGGTTAGGACAGGCAGGCTTTGTGCAGAGTGGCATGCTTCGCTTCAGAGGTCAAGGACAAAGAGCATTGTCTGGTCTTTTTCTCTGGGGCATGCCGGTATGTTGGGAAATGAACAGGCGGACGGTTGGCTGGCTGTGCACGACTTGATGGGATACTGATGCATGATAAGGCAGACCTGGTTAAGCCCTAATTGGAGCATATGCACAGCTTAGAACAGCAAATTGATCATCACAGTCTGGTGAGAGTGATGCAGCAAGGAGTGACGAGCGGATCTGTCTGGTGAGAGTGATGCAGCAAGGAGTGACGAGCAGATCTGTCTGGTGAGAGATGCAGCAAGGAGTGACGAGCAGATCTGTCTGGTGAGAGTGATGCAGCAAGGAGTGACGAGCAGATCTGTCTGGTGAGAGTGATGCAGCAAGGAGTGACAAGCCGATCTGTCTGGTGAGAGTGATGCAGCAAGGAGTGACGAGCAGATCTGTCTGGTGAGAGTGATGCAGCAAGGAGTGACGAGCAGATCTGTCTGGTGAGAGTGATGCAGCAAGGAGTGACGAGCAGATCTGTCTGGTGAGAGTGATGCAGCAAGGAGTGACGAGCAGATCTGTCTGGTGAGAGTGATGCAGCAAGGAGTGACGAGCAGATCTGTCTGGTGAGAGTGATGCAGCAAGGAGTGACGAGCAGATCTGTCTGGTGAGAGTGATGCAGCAAGGAGTGACGAGCGGATCTGTCTGGTGAGAGTGATGCAGCAAGGAGTGACGAGCAGATCTGTCTGGTGAGAGTGATGCAGCAAGTAGTGACGAGCGGATCTGTCTGGTGAGAGTGATGCAGCAAGGAGTGACGAGCAGATCTGTCTGGTGAGAGTGATGCAGCAAGGAGTGACGAGCGGATCTGTCTGGTGAGAGTGATGCAGCAAGGAGTGACGAGCAGATCTGTCTGGTGAGAGTGATGCAGCAAGGAGTGACGAGCAGATCTGTCTGGTGAGAGTGATGCAGCAAGGAGTGACGAGCGGATCTGTCTGGTGAGAGTGATGCAGCAAGGAGTGACGAGCGGATCTGTCTGGTGAGAGTGATGCAGCAAGGAGTGACGAGCAGATCTGTCTGGTGAGAGTGATGCAGCAAGGAGTGACGAGCAGATCTGTCTGGTGAGAGTGATGCAGCAAGGAGTGATGAGCAGATCTGTCTGGTGAGAGTGATGCAGCAAGGAGTGACGAGCAGATCTGTCTGGTGAGAGTGATGCAGCAAGGAGTGATGAGCAGATCTGTCTGGTGAGAGTGATGCAGCAAGGAGTGACGAGCAGATCTGTCTGGTGAGAGTGATGCAGCAAGGAGTGACGAGCGGATCTGTCTGGTGAGAGTGATGCAGCAAGGAGTGACGAGCAGATCTGTCTGGTGAGAGTGATGCAGCAAGTAGTGACGAGCGGATCTGTCTGGTGAGAGTGATGCAGCAAGGAGTGACGAGCAGATCTGTCTGGTGAGAGTGATGCAGCAAGGAGTGACGAGCGGATCTGTCTGGTGAGAGTGATGCAGCAAGGAGTGACGAGCAGATCTGTCTGGTGAGAGTGATGCAGCAAGGAGTGACGAGCAGATCTGTCTGGTGAGAGTGATGCAGCAAGGAGTGACGAGCGGATCTGTCTGGTGAGAGTGATGCAGCAAGGAGTGACGAGCGGATCTGTCTGGTGAGAGTGATGCAGCAAGGAGTGACGAGCGGATCTGTCTGGTGAGAGTGATGCAGCAAGGAGTGACGAGCGAATCTGTCTGGTGAGAGTGATGCAGCAAGGAGTGACGAGCGGATCTGTCTGGTGAGAGTGATGCAGCAAGGAGTTACGAGCGGATCTGTCTGGTGAGAGTGATGCAGCAAGGAGTGACGAGCGCATCTGTTTGGTGAGAGTGATGCAGCAAGGAGTGACGAGCCGATCTGTCTGGTGAGAGTGATGCAGCAAGGAGTGATGAGCGGATCTGTCTGGTGAGATTGATGCAGCAAGGAGTGACGAGCAGATCTGTCTGGTGAGAGTGATGCAGCAAGGAGTGACGAGCGGATCTGTCTGGTGAGAGTGATGCAGCAAGGAGTGACAAGCGGATCTGTCTGGTGAGAGTGATGCAGCAAGGAGTGACAAGCGGATCTGTCTGGTGAGAGTGATGCAGTAAGGAGTGACGAGCGGATCTGTCTGGTGAGAGTGATGCAGCAAGGAGTGACGAGCGGACCTGTCTGGTGAGAGTGATGCAGCAAGGAGTGACGAGCCAATCTGTCTGGTGAGAGTGATGCAGCAAGGAGTGACGAGCCAATCTGTCTGGTGAGAGTAATGCAGCAAGGAGTGACGAGCAGATCTGTCTGGTGAGAGTGATGCAGCAAGGAGTGACAAGCGGATCTGTCTGGTGAGAGTGATGCAGTAAGGAGTGACGAGCGGATCTGTCTGGTGAGAGTGATGCAGTAAGGAGTGACGAGCGGATCTGTCTGGTGAGAGTGATGCAGCAAGGAGTGACGAGCAGATCAGTCTGGTGAGAGTGATGCAGCAAGGAGTGACGAGCGGATCAGTCTGGTGAGAGTGATGCAGCAAGGAGTGACGAGCGGATCTGTCTGGTGAGAGTGATGCAGCAAGGAGTGACGAGCGGATCTGTCTGGTGAGAGTGATGCAGTAAGGAGTGACGAGCAGATCAGTCTGGTGAGAGTGATGCAGTAAGGAGTGACGAGCCGATCAGTCTGGTGAGAGTGATGCAGCAAGGAGTGACGAACGGATCTGTCTGGTGAGAGTGATGCAGCAAGGAGTGACGAGCAGATCTGTCTGGTGAGAGTGATGCAGTAAGGAGTGACGAGCGGATCTGTCTGGTGAGAGTGATGCAGTAAGGAGTGACGAGCGGATCTGTCTGGTGAGAGTGATGCAGCAAGGAGTGACGAGCAGATCTGTCTGGTGAGAGTGATGCAGCAAGGAGTGACGAGCGGATCTGTCTGGTGAGAGTGATGCAACAAGGAGTGACGAGCAGATCTGTCTGGTGAGAGTGATGCAACAAGGAGTGACGAGCGGATCTGTCTGGTGAGAGTGATGCAACAAGGAGTGACGAGCAGATCTGTCTGGTGAGACTGATGCAGCAAGGAGTGACGAGCAGATCTGTCTGGTGAGAGTGATGCAGCAAGGAGTGACGAGCAGATCTGTCTGGTGAGAGTGATGCAGCAAGGAGTGACGAGCAGATCTGTCTGGTGAGAGTGATGCAGCAAGGAGTGACGAGCAGATCTGACGGTGAGAGTGATGCAGCAAGGAGTGACGAGCGGATCTGTCTGGTGAGAGTGATGCAGCAAGGAGTGATGAGCGGATCTGTCTGGTGAGAGTGATGCAGCAAGGAGTGATGAGCGGATCTGTCTGGTGAGAGTAATGCAGCAAGGAGTGACGAGCCGATCTGTCTGGTGAGAGTGATGCAGCAAGGAGTGACGAGCCGATCTGTCTGGTGAGAGTGATGCAGCAAGGAGTGACGAGCAGATCTGTCTGGTGAGAGTGATGCAGCAAGGAGTGACGAGCCAATCTTTCTGGTGAGAGTGATGCAGCAAGGAGTGACGAGCGGATCTGTCTGGTGAGAGTGATGCAGCAAGGAGTGACGAGCGGATCTGTCTGGTGAGACTGATGCAGCAAGGAGTGACGAACGGATCTGTCTTGTGAGAGTGATGCAGCAAGGAGTGACGAGCAGATCTGTCTGGTGAGAGTGATGCAGCAAGGAGTGACGAACGGATCTGTCTGGTGAGAGTGATGCAGCAAGGAGTGACGAGCCGATCTGTCTGGTGAGAGTGATGCAGCAAGGAGTGACGAGCGGATCTGTCTGGTGAGAGTGATGCCGCAAGGAGTGACGAGCGGAGTGGCTGATACTCGACGCTCAGAGGAAAGACCAGACAGACTTATAATCTGACTGCTACTGGCACCTTTAGTATTGGAACTTTGCGCCGGCAGCTGAAGATTTGGACGGAACACTTATGGGAAAGCCCCGAGTGCTCTGATGTCGGTTCTTGAATTAACCCAACCTAACTTAAACATTGCGGCATCTGTGGCTCAGGCGTTGTGAGTCTGACTCGTAATCCAGAGTACCGCGATCGAAACCCACTGCTGGCTGCATGGATTTTTATCATTGTGCGGGGCGTCGCAGGTCGACCCAAACTAAAATGGGTACCAGGATGGCTGTCCTGGGAAAGTAAAGACAGCCGGCATAATGCTGACCACATTACCCACCGAGTGCTGATAGTCTGTAAAAATATGGGTGCTCTTCCCATATGCCCGATACGCCTAAAGGCGTGGAAAGGGATCTTTACTTTTTACTTAACTTAAACATTGATAGCATTACTGAGATATTCTCTGAATCATTGATAGTACTATCACGATGCATGTTTATAACGATGATTATTTCTTGGGGTTACGGGATTGAAGAAGAAGCTATGGAAACACCCAGGCTGGAACTGATCCAAGCAGACATCAAATTCCCACACGAGCAATGTCTGGGTGTGGCACTAAGGCAAGGCAGTTCAGTAACTTGGTGAATCCAAGCACACTATTTGGTACCATGCAGATTCACAGCGGTTGAAGGGATTCATGAAAGGGCTTGTATCAGAGTCTGTAGTTTCAGCTACTAATTGGTCTGTTTAAATATGAGACTAGTACCATACATGCAGTAGGTCTTATCATCATCAAGTAGCTGGCCAGCTGGTGACACCCTACCACGCCTCGACTAAATGTCGTCTGTGTTTCAAAACATTGAAAAAGACTTTTTTAACTTTGTATGCTAGTCTTCTCATTGAGTTGATAAACATATGAACCTGGTGTTTCAGTTCTCGCAAAGAAGAGATTCCCAGAGATTTTGTCATTAGCAAATCAAAGATGTATGAAGGGAAACCTCACCTGACCAGGTTTACGTTAACTAGCAGACGCAACCTTGACCTCAGAGATGATGGGCGAGTCTTGGCTGTAACAGTGGAGTCATCAGAATTCACCAAGGAGTTCTTGTTTACGATTCGTCCTCGAGGTTAGCAGGCATGAATGATATGCTTTCTGTATGTTGGTCTGATGTAAGTGCCCTACTTGATTGGTTATATGGGTGGTGGCATAATTATTTTGTTTGTTGTATGGATGGATGGAAGCCGCCATGGTGTAGACACCTGACTGTGGATCCAAAAGTCATGAGTTCACATCCAGACTGAGCCTGACCTTTTTTTTTTTTAAATTTCTCGCTGGTTAATTTATCCCACGTTTAAATGGGTAACAGATAAAGTCCTGGGAATTAAAGGCTGAACATACCATTTAGGGGTAGTTTTCTTCTCATCCCATGTTTTTTTTCTTTATTTTGCGAGCTAAGTTAATGTCAAATTTTCCTATAAACCTCAGTAATGGAGGTCACTGGGTCACTGCATGAGTTACCTGATACATGTTTTTTTTTGTTTCAAGCCACAGTGAATGTATTCCATTTAATGCTTTACTGTGTTTATTGATTACCTCTTTTATATACTGTACACTTTTTTTTTCAATGTAGATAAACTCATTAATTCATTTGTGAAAACTGGGAATTGGCACATCAACAGCATCTTGTGCCAGAAGCTGAAGTACTTGAGCTATGTTCAATGTAATGGTGGGCTGGAGAGAATGGGGATGGAGGGTACAGTTTCTGCAGGTCGACACAGCAGCAGACCTCTCTGAGGGTGGATACAGAACCTTGCATATGCATGGGCAGTGAAAGCACACAGGGCTGGAGAACTGGCTACAGAGATTTTTGGGTTCGGCGTGACAAGAGCCACATTCTGTGAAGCCCCTGCTGACGGATGATGATGGTGGGGAACCTGTGTAAAATGGTTGGTTTTAAATTATGATAATTCTGGGAGCCATAAAATCTACACCTATTGTAAAAATGGAAAAGGCAGCCAACATCATCCCCTTAGAAGAAAGAAGAAGGACAAAAGCAATTCTACATGCTGAAAAAATGAAGAGAATGCTAAACCACCCATTACACAAAAAATTGGCAGCCAGGACAAAAAACCGAATAAAGCGCACAAGCCTAAACCATCTAACTAAGGAATTTGGAAAGTCATTCTCTTCACTACTTAACCAACAATGTACACCTGAAGAGCTATCTTTCGATCTCTGGGACTCCGAATTATTGACACTCAATGTGTCAACATCCATCCCGAACCTGGGAAACAGAGATGCTGAGCCCGCTTTAGTGAAGAAAGCACTCACAATGGAACACCTCAACAACATGTTCCCACAGGACAGCTGGACGAGAATCTACACAAATGGATCAGCAAAAGAGGCAACTACGAATGGTGGGGCAGGTGTCTACATAAAACACCCAGATGCCACTACTGTGTCCCTAGCAGCCCCCACCGGACGAACTTGCTCTAACTACAAGGCAGAACTCTCAGCCTTAATGATGGCAGCACAGCAAATGAACAATCTGTAAATCACCGCAGGCAGGATAGTTTGTCTCACTGACTCAATGTCAGCTATACAGACCCTTGAGTCCAAACCTACCGACAGCACACTACAAAGTCTAACACATGAACTTGCTATGTTGTCAAATAAGGCAGAAATTCACTTGCAATGGATTCCGTCTCACTGTGGCATCAAAGGCAATGAAAGCGCAGATGCTTTAGCCAAGGAAGGCAGTAACAAACCACAGACCTACCAGCCACTATCTTTTCCAGAAGTCAAAACTCTCATTAAGAGAAAATCAGAAACAGATTGGTAAACTAACACTGGTTATAACTACGGAAAATATTTTCTGAAACACTTGAACAAAACAGACCAAGTCACAGTTTTTCGCTTACGCACTGGACACTGCAGACTCAATAAACACTCACATAAATTAGGTATGAGCCAAACAGCTCTCTGCCGGTGCCTTTGTGCTGAACAGACTCCAGAACATGTCCTGCAAGACTGTCCTCTCCTGGCGGAGAAGCAGAGCAACATATGGCAACACCCAGTAGAAATTACAACTAAGCTTCGGGGAAACCTAAGAGACCTTGAAAAGACATCCCAGTTTATGACCCACAGTGGATTATGCACATGACCAGAGATCGCTGAAGAAGAAATGATGATGGTGGGGAACCTGTGTAAAATGTTTTTTTTTTTAAATGATGATAGTGGGAAACCTGTGTAAAATGGTTGGTTTTAAATGATGATGGTGGAGTACCCGTGTAAAATGGTTGGTTTTAAATGATGATGGTGGGGTACCCATGTAAAATGGTTGGTTTTAAATGATGATGGTGGGGTACCCGTGTAAAATGGTTGGTTTTAAATGATGATGGTGGGGAACCTGTGTAAAATGGTTGGTTTAAATGATTCGTTTGTCCAGGAATTTCAACAGGTTTATAGCCCATTTAAAAAAAATAGAGCACAGGATTTCAGGACCAGTGTCACAGTAGTCTGTAGTTAGTATATGAATGTTATATGTGTGAATGTTATCCACATGTAAATGTTATCCACATATGAATGTTATCCACATGTGAATGTTATCCACATGTGAATGTTATCCACATATGGCATTGAAGAAAATATAATGCTTTTATGCTGGCTTTGGTCTGTAGGAATTCCTGGGGAAGTGGTCAACTTGACGGCTTGGGATGTGAACCATGATTCTTTGATGTTGTCATGGACGCCAGGCTTCAATGGTGGAGAGGTTCAAACTTTTCTGGTAGAACTTCGAGTCAAGGGCTCATCTCGTGATGATGATGTAAGTGTTTGTATGTGATACTGAAGAGTCCTATCTTCTGATGGTGCTTACCTGTGTGTTGGTCACCATGTCTATCCATAGTCTTTTGTCTCACCAGTCTAAACATGGGTAATGAGGAAGTTGTATGCGAAATAAAGGCAGCCGTGATAATAACATGCGAGGAAGTGAGAAAATATGCTCAAGTTTCATATGTTATCAAAATGATTCACAGTCGAGCTTGTACCTGGCACGTATCTAGAGGTCAGCGGGTCTGATTCTGTTGTTTTATTGGTTGGTTAGCTACATCTGTGCTTCAGTGTCACATCAATACATCTGATGGGTATGGGGGGGGGGGGGGGGGGTGGGGAGGGGGGGGGGGGGGAATGAAAATGAAAACTTGAGACTGTTGATACCTTTCTACACCGAAGAGTAGCAGAAGGAAGACTAAACAAGACTGTGGTAGGTATCTCTGCTTCTCTGTGTAGAAGAGGACATTTAACACGATATTCTATCTGTCTATGGTCTGTAGTCCTATAAAGAGAACATTGATGGAGGGTATGGTTTCTGGAAGAAGAAGCAAAGGATGTTACACGTGACAGTGGACACAGGATACCAAGGACACCTGGATGGGAAGGTTCATGAGGCAAACAAGTTGACATTGACCAAATGGTTTCTAGTTTATGGGGATAAGAGCAGCACATGGCTAAGGGCCCACTACGATAATTCCCATGATGGTTTTGGGGCTCTGTATTGTAGGGAAACAGAATAGACCCAGTGCTCGTTTACAAGCATGTCCTAAAAGGCAACCAACAATGGATTTGCTGACAGTGGATGAGTCCTGCCTAAAATGGCAGATGCCACAGCCTAGCTGTAAACTTCAACACAATGTGCCAGTCACCCTTTGAAGAGAAAATGTAGAAGAAGAAGAAGAAGAAGATGATGGCGGTGAGTCAGGCAACACTGGTGCTCACTGACAGAGTTACTGTTCGAATCTCTCACATTTCTCTGAGATATATGGTGCTGTCTGTTGTTTTACAGAATGCAGAGTGGATGTTATTCATCAGCAACATTCCAGACCCAGCAGCTGGCAAGTGGGTGACGGTCCAGGTGGGTTCCCTGGTCAGCGGCACCAGTTATATCGTCAGGGTGACGGCCGTGAATAGACTGGGTTCCACCTCAGCAGAAATTGAAGTCACCACTCTGGGTATGTTCTGTATCTTTATCTCATGATGGACTGCAGTCAGGGTTTATCGAATCCCTCGTATTGACCTTTCAAGTCTCAATGTGGGTTTCTTGACTCCATTTTGGAGAATAAACAGTAGACTCACCTGCCCCCTTTCCACTCCCAATCCAGTCAAGCATTTCATAAGTGGTATCTTATTAGGGGTGTTTCCTTCAGTGTCAGAATGTGTCTGCCTGAGCGACAAGGAACCAACAGTCAGTCTGTACACAAATAAGCCAAATCTGTGAAATGAAAAAGCAAACAAAACTCAAGTTGTAAATTCAGTTCAAAGTCCAGGAGTGGATGAACAACCAGAACTTTTTGCTGGAGTTTACAGCCTGTGAACACAGAAGAAGAAGAAGAAGAAGACCTACCACATCAGCCATGGAATTCCAGCGGATCTATACAACTCTGGACCAGGCACCATGAGCTGATACACCGGGAGCTGGAACCAGCAGATCTGTTACTTGCCCCCCCCCCCCCCCCCACATTATTGCCCTTCCCAGTCAACTCAGCCAGAAATGGGTACTAGGGAATATCCTGGGAAGTAAAGGCAATCTGACAGATGTCACCCACAATACAGGTGTGATGCTGATAGGTATAAATATACAGTTAGAACTGTGTAGTGTCAGATGTCAGTCTGGTTTCTTTTCTGGAACAAATTAGGTGAAATATAAATCATTGTTAGCGGCTGCCCTGGTGTAGTGGCTGGATGCTTGCCTGTGGATCGGACAGTCATGGTTCGAGTCCTGATGAACCAGACTTTTCTTCAACAATGACCTTGGCTCCCAGGTGGACCCAGCCTTGAGTGTATACCAAGTGCAGTCCTGGGAAGTAAAGGTGGTGGGTGTGATGCTGACCACATCAACTAACAAGTGCTGATTGGTCTATAAAATACAGACCTAGCGCTATATGCCCCGTGTGCCTAAAGGCAGGGAAAAGGGTACTTTACTTTTTACTGTTATCAGTCATTGATATTTTAATCTTATGTTCTATTAAATGACGGTCCATTTTTTATCTTGGATTCTATAAAATGTCAGTCTATGTTTTATCTTGGAATCTATCAAATGTCAGTCTTTGTTTTATCTTGGAATCTATCAAATGTCAGTCCATGTTTTATCTTGGAATCTATCAAATGTCAGTCCATGTTTTATCTTGGAATCTGTCAAATGTCAGTCTATGTTTTATCTTTGAATCTATCAAATGTCAGTCCATGTTTTATCTTGGATTCTCTATCAAATGTCAGTCCATGTTTTATCTTGGAATCTATCAAATGTCAGTCTATGTTTTATCTTGGATTCTCTATCAAATGTCAGTCTATGTTTTATCTTGGAATCTATCAAATGTCAGTCTATGTTTTATCTTGGAATCTATCAAATGTCAGTCCATGTTTTATCTTGGAATCTATCAAATGTCAGTCCATGTTTTATCTTGGAATCTGTCAAATGTCAGTCTATGTTTTATCTTTGAATCTATCAAATGTCAGTCCATGTTTTATCTTGGATTCTCTATCAAATGTCAGTCCATGTTTTATCTTTGAATCTATCAAATGTCAGTCCATGTTTTATCTTGGATTCTCTATCAAATGTCAGTCCATGTTTTATCTTGGATTCTCTATCAAATGTCAGTCTATGTTTTATCTTGGATTCTCTATCAAATGTCAGTCTATGTTTTATCTTGGATTCTCTATCAAATGTCAGTCTATGTTTTATCTTGGATTCTCTATCAAATGTCAGTCTATGTTTTATCTTGGATTCTCTATCAAATGTCAGTCTAACGTTTTATCTTGGATTCTCTATCAAATGTCAGTCCATGTTTTATCTTGGAATCTGTCAAATGTCAGTCTATGTTTTATCTTTGAATCTATCAAATGTCAGTCCATGTTTTATCTTGGATTCTTTATCAAATGTCAGTCTATGTTTTATCTTTGAATCTATCAAACGTCAGTCCATGTTTTATATTAGAATCTTAGCAAATGTCAATCCTTGTTATTTTATCTTATATCCTGTTAAATATCAGTCCATGTAGTTTAAATCTAGAATTTTTTGAAATGTCAGTCTATTTTTTTAATCCAGTTTTTTTTTTAAATGTCAGTCCTTATTGTTTAATCTTAACTTCCATCAATTGTCAATCCCCAGCTGCCCCAGATGAGTCACTTGGGTCTGGTGCTGTTGCTGGAATTGTCTTGCTAGCCCTTGTCATTATAGCTGTCATTATTGTCATTATCTACTGCATTGTGTGCAGACGTCGACAACAAGGTCAGTGCTCTCAGTTAACCACTGTCTTTTCCTTATGTGCTTGACAGGATATTGCATAATATCAGCAGCATTTACTGGCTGTTGGTAGTTTTTACAGGGTAGTTTTACTTGGTAGTTTTATTGGGTAGTTTTACTGTGTAGTTTTACTAGGTAGTTTAACTGAGTACTTTTACTAGGTAGTTTTACTGGGTAGTTTTACTGAGTACTTTCACTGGGTAGTTTTATGGGGTACTTTCACTAGGTAAATTTACTAGGCAGTTTTAATAGGTAGTTTTGCTGGGTGCTTTCACTAGGTAGTTCTACTAGGCAATTTTGTATTCAGTAATTTGCCATTGCCTCTTGAATGTCAAGACACTTTATACCATTATTTAAATCAATTCAAAAAGGTCTGATGCCCCATTACCAGTATCTGAAACCAACTTGGTATTTTCGGAATGATGAATCATGCTTGTGACTCCTATTTCACACATGCAGAGTGAGTTCTGCTTCACTTTTAATACTGGACAAGTGCCTGCCAGCCCAAAGGTCTTGAGTGTTGAATCAACACTAGGGAGATTGGTTTAAATAATTGATTTTGGCTTCCAGGTCAGTCTAGACAAAATGGGTGGCAGGAAAGGTGCCAGCGTTGTGTTTGGGTGGCAGGAAAGGTGCCAGTGTGATGTTTGGGTGGCAGGAAAAGTGCCAGCGTGATGTTTGGGTGGCAGGAAAGGTGCCAGCGTGATCATTGGGTGGCAGGAATGGGGCCAATGTGATGTTTGGGTGGCAGGAAAGGTGCCAGTATAATGTTTGGGTGGCAGGAAAAGTGCCAGCGTGATGTTTGGGTGGCAGAAAAGGGGCCAGTGTGATGTTTGGGTGGCAGGAAATGGATCAGCGTGATTTTTGGGTGGCAGGAAAGGGATCAGTGTGATGTTTGGGTGGCAGGAAAGGTGCCAGCATGATGTTTGGGTTGCAGGAATGGGGCCAATGTGATGTTTGGGTGGCAGGAAAGAGGCCAGTGTGATGTTTGGGTGGCAGGAAAGGTGCCAGCATGATGTTTGGGTGGCAGGAAAGATGCCAGCGTAATGTTTGGGTGGCAGGAAAGATGCCAGCATGATGTTTGGGTGGCAGGAAAGATGCCAGCGTGATGTTTGGGTGGCAGGAAAGGTGCCAGTGTAATGTTTGGGTGGCAGGAAAGATGCCAGCGTGATGTTTGGGTGGCAGGAAAGGTGCCAGTGTAATGTTTGGGTGGCAGGAAAGATGCCAGTATGTTTGGGTGGCAGGAAAGATGCCAGTATGATGTTTGGGTGGCAGGAAAGATGCCAGCGTAATGTTTGGGTGGCAGGAAAGATGCATGATGTTTGGGTGGCAGGAAAGATGCCAGCGTGATGTTTGGGTGGCAGGAAAGGTGCCAGTGTAATGTTTGGGTGGCAGGAAAGATGCCAGCGTGATGTTTGGGTGGCAGGAAAGGTGCCAGTGTAATGTTTGGGTGGCAGGAAAGATGCCAGTATGTTTGGGTGGCAGGAAAGATGCCAGTATGATGTTTGGGTGGCAGGAAAGATGCCAGTATGATGTTTGGGTGGCAGGAAAGAGGCCAGTGTGATGTTTTGGTGGCATAAAAGGGGCCAGTGTGATGTTTGGGTGGCAGGAAAGGGATCAGCGTGATGTTTGGGTGGCAGGAAAGGTGCCAGTGTAATGTTTGGGTGGCAGGAAAGATGCCAGCATGATGTTTGGGTGGCAGGAAAGATGCCAGTATGATGTTTGGGTGGCAGGAAAGATGCCAGCGTGATGTTTGGGTGGCAGGAAAGGTGCCAGCGTGATGTTTGGGTGGCAGGAAAGGTGCCATCGTGATGTTTGGGTGGCAGGAAAGGTGCCAGCATGATGTTTGGGTGGCAGGAAAGGTGCCAGCATGATGTTTGGGTGGCAGGAAAGGTGCCAGCATGATGTTTGGGTGGCAGGAAAGGTGCCAGCATGATGTTTGGGTGGCAGGAAAGATGCCAGCATGATGTTTTCTGCCTCCTTAAAAATAGTCTAAAGTCTAGCATCACAAGCCTAGTGCATCAATGACCTGAAAAGGTCCTTGACCTTGTTTCTGTCACATCACCCATCAAATACTGGTTAGGCTGTCAACAGTTTGAGGCTTGCACCATATGCCTGATGGCTCGGCATTGGGCTCTTGGTTTTTACAATTATTTGATTGAAACGACATTATTATCTCTGGAAAGGTTAACTGTGAACAAATAACTGGTGAAGTTGTGTGTGTTGGCCAACAGGTATACTGTAAACAGGCACAACACAGTTATGTCACTTGGATGAACGATAAAACATCATAAGAAGAAGCTCTTATGCAGTTCTGCAGTATTTATCTGAAAATGATTACATTTAGAATCTTTGACAAGAATTATTTCATTTCTTGCTCTAGGGGATTATTCAAGTGACGATGAGGAAACAGAAACTCGGTAAGTAGCCAGTTGTTCTTTGTTACTAAATTTTGTTGAAGTCTGTGGTGTCCAAAATATCATTGAGCTGAGTTGAGAGAATTGACTTCATTCCACTGTGCTTTATCTGGTATGGCTCAGTCTCTCTCCACAGAACCGCTAGCAGTCTACCGATTATGTCGCACAAAGCATGAACTGCTTATCTCCAGTGACAATCCCTAGGGATCTCCATAAAAATTATACTCATGGACTGAACGGCATAGCCGTGAAACGAACCCACAACCTTCAGAGTATCAGGCAAACAGCTTGGACACTTTGCCACAGAGACCCGTGTTGTCAAAACCATCACATTAATCCATAACTTCATTGTGTGTCATGGGTGTGCTATAGGCGGGCCATGATGGGAGCATCAAAACACAGTCTAGTTTCACAATATTTCTGTCCGCTGTATGTATACAGAGCATGCCTTGACCTACTGGATCATGATCATAGAATAACTAAGTTCACACGTGCAGGAATAGTCCTGTGTTCACTCTAGCCACATGAACCTTGTGTCATCTCCATCACCTCCATCGTCATGCTACTGGTAGTTATAGAGAGGGTACCGCTGGCTTCCTGGTCTGTTCTGCCTGAAGAGCAAACTGCTGCCACCAACAGCTGCCAAGCAGGACAACACGGGGGAAGGTGCAGCTGAGTTCATGAGGTGCAGATATCTTAGGCAGAAAGGATGTTTATAGGAGACTTGGTGGTATAAGGTTAGTATGTTTACCGGCTGAAACTGTGGTCTAGGGTCAATGTCAAGGAGTGGCAGGATTGTTTCCAATCAGTTGTCAGCTTGACTAAGCCCCTTCAAAATAGTATCAGACCAGTCAAAATAGTATCAGACCAGTCAAAATAGTATTAGGCCCTTCAAAATAGTATCAGACCAGTCAAAATAGTATCAGACCATTCAAAATAGTATCAGAAAGGTCAAAATAGAATCAGACCAGTCAAAATAGTATCAGACCAGTCAAAATAGTATCAGACCAGTCAAAATAGTATCAGACCAGTCAAAATAGTATCAGACCAGTCAAAATAGTATCAGACCAGTCAAAATAGTATCAGACCAGTCAAAATAGTATCAGACCAGTCAAAATAGTATCAGACCAGTCAAAATAGTATCAGACCAGTCAAAATAGTATCAGACCAGTCAAAATAGTATCAGCCCCTTCAAAATAATCTTTGTCTGTCGTGTATTTAAATAGTGCAGACACAAACAGTAAATTACACCATTTATTTCTTTGGATGTTTCACTGTATCTCGTCAGGTGTATTACATCAGACTTAATACAACATCTAATGAAGTGTGATGCAAACAAGCAAGAACATCTGCTAGTTGTCTATTCAGTGTGTGGTGGTGAGAAGTGCAGTATGACTAGAGACATTCTGGTTTATGTATTTCACTGGAAAGAGTTTATTTTTGTGGTTCATTATATGCTGATTTAACTTTGTAGTAATGTGAAATATGCAGCCAGGCAGTACCTTGTGCAGTGAATTGTTTGTGTCCCCATTATTTCAATACCAGATAATTTTCAGAATCTTCAGAGGAGTTGACTGGGAAGGAAGGCAAGTGACCTAACCATCTGGTATGTTGTGACCTGGATTATGCAAAGATCTAACACTTTCAAGCCTGATGGCAGGTTTATGTCTTGTGTTTATCGTGATGGTTTCCCCAGCACACGTTCTTTATGCTGGGAGGGGTGGGGTGGGGGGGGGGGTCCCCCTTAGCAAAGTGACCTAGTGTTTGCCTCATGCTCTCAAGGTCATGAGTTTGTTTCCAGACGGCACGATTTGGGTCATACGTGTGATTTCTTAAAGATATCTAGGTTCATCACTGGAGCTGGGAAGTTTGTTCTTTGAGATGCTCTCGGAAGCTAGCCCTTTTGAGATAAGAGAGAACAAGCTGTAGGGGATCAAACCTGATACAATAAACTAAATCCTCTCAGCTTTCAAGTGTAACTTAAAGCTGGCAGTGCCTTCTGGCCTGAACTGTAGAGGGTGCTTGCCATTCTGTTGCTCCCACACAATATCCTGGCTGCTGAAGAGGAGAACAGATCACTCACATTCATGACAGATTTTAAAATTTAACTTTATACACTGGCATTATCTGTCATAAGAAATAAGCACATGGTTGTGATTTTTAGACCAGGTTGGTGCCGTGAGACTGACCACCTGTACACATGCATAGAACTGGGATTGTTAGCAAGGTCAGTGTCATGACTAAATCAAGACGAATCTCTTGGCTTCATTGATGGATGCTGGTTTGTCTGCTGCATCTGTGTGAAATCTGGCCTGTCTGATGTCCCAGGAAGCCATTCAAGTCGAGTAAAGCTCATCAGTTGTGTGTTGTACCTCCACAGGAAATCTATGCTTCCCAAACAGATATCCAATCTGTTGACATGGAAGACTTGTCGCACAGCACAGGATGCTGATGACAGTGGTAAGTTGAGAGGTCATGTGTCAGTGTGTCATAGTTCATAGAGTTTTGATGACAGAAAGAGTGAAGGATAGTTAAGGCCTATGTCAGTATATTCATGTGATAATGAACTCGTACTAGATTCATCAAGAAACAGCAGATCAAGTCGTTTGGCCATCTGGTTAGAATGCAGCAAGATCAAATACCATCACAAGCACTACATCTCAGAAGATTATCTACTTCTCTGTACACCAGTGGGATAAGTTCTGGGGGGCATGCACTGTGGTACCACAAAAAGAGAAGCTTCTCTCCTGTATAGTTGGCCGCTGAAAACAGGGATTGGAAAAGGCAGGCAACTCTGACATTTGTGAAATAACAGTATCTACGCAGGAAATAAGACAGTTCTTCAGTGGCTGCCCCCTGTGTGGGTTCTGGGGCCTCATTGTGGGGGAGCACAAAAAGAGACCCACTGCTGCCCGAACAAGGGTGTCTTAGGCATCGTTTGAGTGTGGGCTTCCGTCAAAGTACATCTGCCTAAGAGGCAAAAAACCAACAACCTGCATGCAAATGAATCAGATCTGTGAAACGGATGTGCACGCAACAGCTGTAGACAAACAACCAGAGTGTTTTGCTGGAGTTGACAGTCAGCTGAACACAGAGAAGAAGATTGTGGTTGTGTCTAAACACTAGACTCCTATTCATGAAATATCATCATCATCAAGTGCCTTGCCATCATAATTATAATGTTACAAAGACAAAACTGTGTCCTAGTTCTTGATTAGTCACCCTTTACCACATGACTGGGGGGGGGGGGGGGGGTGGAAGTTTTTGTTGATCCCAAAATGAGGCTGCAGAACATACCTGGGGACAAGTTGCCTGTGGGTAGAAGCACCAGATGAGGTGTCTTATTGTAGGGTTTCCTTGTGTGTGTGTCTGATGTTTGAATAATGCTGTGTTAGAGTAGTCAAATCTGGCCAGCCTAGCCTAGTGAAGACTGCTGGCAAGGGACTTGAAATGTCACTAGTGCTGCCCCACAGATCCATCAGCCTGACCTAGTGAAGACTGCTGGCTAGGGACATGGAATGTCACCAGTGCTGCCCCACAGATCCATCAGCCTGACCTAGTGAAGACTGCTGGCTAGGGACGTGGAATGTCACCAGTGCTGCCCCACAGATCCATCAGCCTAGTGAAGACTGCTGGCTAGGGACATGGCCTAGAATGTCACTAGTGCTGCCCCACAGATCCATCAGCCTAGCCTAGTGAAGACTGCTGGCTAGGGACGTGGCCTAGAATGTCACTAGTGCTGCCCCACAGATCCATCAGCCTGGCCTAGTGAAGACTGCTGGCTAGGAACGTGGCCTAGAATGTCCACAGTGCTGCCCCACAGATCTATCAGTCTAGCCTAGTGAAGACTGCTGGCTAGGGACGTGGAATGTCACTAGCGCTGCCCCACAGATCCATCAGCCTAGCCTAGTGAAGACTGCTGACTAGGGACGTGGCCTAGAATGTCCCTAGTGCTGCCCCACAGATCCATCAGCCTGACCTAGTGAAGACTGCTGGCTAGGAACGTGGCCTAGAATGTCCACAGTGCTGCCCCACAGATCCATCAGCCTGACCTAGTGAAGACTGCTGGCTAGGGACGTGGCCTAGAATGTCCACAGTGCTGCCCCACAGATCCATCAGCCTGACTTAGTGAAGACTGCTGGCTAGGGACGTGGCCTAGAATGTCCACAGTGCTGCCCCACAGATCTATCAGTCTAGCCTAGTGAAGACTGCTGGCTAGGGACATGGCCTAGAATGTCACCATTGCTGCCCCACACAGCCATCAGCCTGGCCTAGTGAAGACTGCTGGCTAGGGACGTGGAATGTCCCTAGTGCTGCCCCACAGATCCATCAGCCTGGCCTAGTGAAGACTGCTGGCTAGGGACATGGAATGTCACCAGTGCTGCCCCACAGATTCATCAGCCTAGCCTAGTGAAGACTGCTGGCTAGGGACGTGGCCTAGAATGTCCACAGTGCTGCCCCACACAGCCATTAGTCACCATTTGCCTGTTGAAGTTCAGTTAACTATAACCCTGACCCTAACTTTGCAATGTGCTCTGCTAGGGGTTTGTTTCTACATGCCACATTGCTGTATTCATGTATTTAGTTACTTTGACACACCAGAAACGAATGTTCAGTGATAGACCTTTATTCACTGAATCACACATTTCTTTAATAGCGCATTCTTTCGTCCGCATGGTCGTTATGCACGGCTGATTTCTGACCACCTGGCCAATTCTCTTGCGCACTGTTTTGCTCCATCCATATCTCTCGAATCACACATCCATCTCACACTAAAGCCTCATACCTGGTATTAGTACATGTTGACATTGGCAATCAGGAAACATTCATGTCTTCTCTCGAACAGTTTCATGTTGTCACAAGTTCTCAATTCTAATCAGGTGTTCTCTCACATTCGACCTCTCGCAACCAGGTCCAAACTTCCACTGTCTTACTACCGTCTCTTTGTTCACATCTTCCGTTCTAGTCTCACGCTTTTTTTGTATCCCTTATTCGCTCACCATGGGATACTTGAGACCCACTTATCTCGTTTTTCTCTTGTATCTCTTTAAAAAAAAAAATGAGTGTGTTAAAGGCATTATGTTTTGCCAGGCTACCATAATAGACACTTGTGGTGGGTACCAGCACCTTTCATAGACAGTGTTAAAAGTTCCAGCCCTGTGTTTTCTAGAAAAAAGAGCTTATAACGAGTTTTTTCAGTGCTATGTGTTTAAAGGCACAAATGAATGGGACAGACTTAGAGGATGGTAGAGTTCCAGGGTCAGCCTCTATGGTGACTTACTGATGGCTAGACGGTGTTGAGGTTGGGGTCTACAACAGTATAAGGATTTGTCCAGACATGACATCAATGATACAGTTATTGAGGTGACGGGAACAGGATTCCATGGACCATGTTGCATGGAAGGGGAAAATCAGCCAAGCGACAGAGACAAAGGAGAAGATGACTGCAGATTGGTAGAGAGCTGAGCATCTGGCAAGAAGCATATTTAATACACGGTGATGGCAGCAGTGGTCCTGAACTCTCATGTATTTATTGTGGAAGATTGATGAACCTGATCTGTCTTGCTAATCACACTCGCCATCACAACGGTCTGTGATTCCCATGCTTGTCTTTAGCAGATGATATCACTCTCTCCTGGAAAGATGAACAAGTGCCAACAACAGTTCTGTCCCTGGACATGATCAGTCTACCTGGAACTTGGAGTCAAATGCCTGAAGTGTCATTCTCTTGTGGAGGCTGTCATTCAAGTTCTCTGTCTGACAAACCATACTTCATTAGAGCATGGACTGGGAGCCATTCCACGCAGTGAACACTGCAAAGAGGTACAAGGAAAGACTAGTAACAGTGACACCTACCATGCACGTCATAAGAGGCAACAAAGGGAGGTTGGTGTGATGCTGGCTAAATGCCATTGAAGGCTTGACCTGCCAAGTACGACCAGTGATGAACAAGACTACAGGCTAAGATTCAGTTGTCTGAGAGTCTGTGCTATAATAGGCGGTGACAGACAAGAACAGTCTCCAGACTGCTTCAGGGTGGAGATAATCAATGATTTGTTCAACTAAAGACATCAGTTCCCAGGTGTGTTCATTAAGCATGGATGCCTGATTCACAATCTTAGCAGTAGTGTGTCTGTGGTTCTAATGGATATTTCATTCAACAGCTGACTCTGCAAGTTCCCAGCCAAAGGAGAGTCCCTGGCAAAGGCTGAAACACTTTCTACACAGGTAGGTCAAGTTTAACTGTAGGTTAGTCTCAGACACATTTTCTACATAGCTAGGTCAAGTTTGATTATGTTAGTTAGTTAGTTAGCTAGTTAGTTAGTTAGCTAGGTATTTAGTTAGCTAGCTAGGTATTTAGTTAGTTAGTTGGGTTATCATCGTTGCACTCTGGACATATCCATTGGTGCTCCGACCCTTCCCTCAGTATGAACCCCAACGTCCGGTGACTAGTAGTATCAGTTGTGTATTGTTTAACAAGTCTTCATAGGGTAGTTAGCATCTTTTGGATACTTTCTACAAGTCATGCCGGTGTGTCGGGAAATAAACAGACAGATAGACTGGCCGGTTTTGTACCACTTGGTGGTGAACTGATGTATGACAAGCTGGATGTTGTGAGGGCCCTTTGGGAGTGAGTGAACAGTGCTGAGGCACAGATTCACAGATAGATCATTACGGTCTGAGGAGAATGGCATTGCGAGGAGTGACAAGGGGATCTGGTCGACACTCAGGAGAAAGGAGAGACTGATATACAATAGGACAGTTACTGATATTATCAGAATTTTAACTCTTCACTAGCTGCTGAAAATAGGAATGGAGCGTTTAGGGGGGTGTCCCGAGTGTTATGATGTCTATTCTTAATTCAACATTCAACATTTATCGCACAAGTTCTCTGATGTGCCTGGGGTGCGTATCGCTGTGCTGATCTTATCGCCTCTATTATATTTAGTATTATAATTGTTTTAAAATGTAGGCATACTTAGAGTACCTTGTTACAAACATGTTATTGATGATGCCTGTAATTATCATTATTATTATTATTATTATTATTACTATCTTCTAAAACAATGTGTGCATAAATAATGTATGCATGGCGTGAAGCCAGAAGGGCAGGATGTAAGACGGGCCTGTGTGCCCAATTCCTTACCCTTTGAAAATAAAGTTTGTTCGTTCCTAAGTCTATCATTCTGGTGAGTCATGTGGATTCTCTGTCCCCAGAGTCCTCCACCTTCCTATTTCTCGGAGGGTATTAATAAAATCAGCATGATCCATAGGCTGACAGTCGGTAGCAATAGAGGATCCAGCCAACCTGTCAGCTCTTTCATTTCTATTGATGCTTGTGTTGCCTTGAACAAAAATAAAGGTGACACCGCACGCAGTGGATTTCTGTAATGATTCAAGCCACTGTCTTTGCACCGAACCTGCCTGAACCCTCTGGATCATACATCATTAAATCACCGAGTACACATGTGCGGGTGTAGTCTTGTGCTGTGAATGCCTTTCTTTTTTTGGCGTATAATGGATCGGTCTGTGTAGATCAGTACATCTGCCATGTCTGAATTTTCACTGATAGCATTGACCTCTGCATTTGGGCGGGGGAGGAAGGGGGGGGGGGGGGGTCAACAAAATAATGACCAATCAAAATATCAGCAACCAGTTAGAAAAGTACAGATTGAACTAGATCATAAGGTAGCTCTGCATCCTGGGAGTAGATGAGGAAAGACAGGAGCCTTTTGTGTTAGTGTACATTCTAACATGTTGGTTTCTTTTACAGGAAAGACTCCAGCAGTGACTCAGAGGATGCAACCACAGCCAAAGTGTTTGCAGGTCTGCATCTTGTATATCATGCTGTTTTGTGGAATGGACTAATATTTCCAGTAAACTCTTTCGCTGTACAGACACCACTTGTTTTATGATGTAATGATGTCAGTGTACAGACACCACTTGTTTTATGATGTAATTATGTCAGTGTAATCAGTGAGTAAAGTAAAGATCCCTTTTTCATGCCTTAGGTGCATCAGGCGTATAGGAAGAGCACCCATATTTTTACAGACCAATCGGCACTAAGTGGGTAATGTGGTCAGCTTTACGCTGGCCGTCTTCACTTCCCCAGGGCATACATCCTGGTACCCATTTTGGGCTGGGTCGACCTGCGACGCCCCATACCGTGATAAAAATCCATGCATCGCTGTAATCAGAATACACCAATGTCTTTTCCTGGAAATGTCAGTTCACTGACATCCGTTTAACAGACACTACGTCTCTGTGGTGAACTGGTTATCTGTTTAACAGACACTACGTCTCTGTGGTGAACTGGTTATCTGTTTAACAACACTGAGTCTCTGTGGTGAACTGGTTATCTGTTTAACAGACACTACGTCTCTGTGGTGAACTGGTTATCTGTTTAACAGACACTGCGTCTCTGTGGTGAACTGGTTATCTGTTTAACAGACACTGAGTCTCTGTGGTGAACTGGTTATCTGTTTAACAGACACTACGTCTCTGTGGTGAACTGGTTATCTGTTTAACAGACACTACGTCTCTGTGGTGAACTGGTTATCTGTTTAACAACACTGAGTCTCTGTGGTGAACTGGTTATCTGTTTAACAGACACTACGTCTCTGTGGTGAACTGGTTATCTGTTTAACAGACACTGCGTCTCTGTGGTGAACTGGTTATCTGTTTAACAGACACTGAGTCTCTGTGGTGAACTGGTTATCTGTTTAACAGACACTAAGTCTCTGTGGTGAACTGGTTATCTGTTTAACAACACTGAGTCTCTGTGGTGAACTGGTTATCTGTTTAGCAGACACT